ACTGTATATTTGATTGTTATGTTTAGGTTTTAATAAACTATACGTAATATCGATAACTTTCATGTGTGTGAAAAAAAACCGTTAGCCTATAATATCTATAAGATTCTTACGATTTTTCACTTGATTGCATTCGAAACAAAGGTGTGTTTCTTAATGATTATTAGAAAAAAATTATAAGAAGATTTACTTGCCAAAATGGGGCAGAAATGGACGTGTATTGGCATCAAACAAGTTTCATAAAGATGCAGTAGCTCACTGTAGTGAGAAAAGTATTTTAATAGTCTTTGACTTTCCAATAACATTTTATGTGTTACAAATAAAAAGAAAATAATTAGTCACATAAAATTTATACTTTAGATTGCTCGAGGCTGTAAGTCTTACGATTTCGATATTTATTAGTAAATAATTTAGACACACAGTCAAAAATGTATTTATACGTCATTAAGGCGGTACCTAAAGCAAATAAACGGGTTCCTATTTTCCAAATAGTATGTATCAGGGCGTATCAACAATTTAGTAAGGTTTGAATTTATTATTTACATACAATAGGTAACAACTCGATTACAGGGTATTTTAATGCAAAATATAACAGACGGGAAATGACTGCTTGGTTTTGAATTATTATAATCATGTCTAGTCGGACATGGTAGATATTTTTTATTAAGAGCCATTTTATGCTTATGGCTTGAGTGTGCGCCTCTCAACCAGGGTTGAGAGGCGCACACAACCTCAGGAGGTTGTAGGTTCAAATAATAACAAAAATAAACCATAAAATACGATACCGATACAGAATTCTAAAAAAAATATGAAAGTGTTAACATACATCACGTTATGTGTCATTGATTTTATTTGGACAGACTTTTGTTATTGTTTTCCGCTAGGATCAAACCCAGGACTATTGCGTTAGGTATGCCACCCATCCCCAATGTGACAGGTACCGAATATATTACTATAAATTGTTATTAAATATAAAACATGTAAATTAGTATAGGCATTTTAATAGACAACTAGATGCCATTTAAAAATATTGAATCACTGACATTATCTTGTAATAAATAAAGCTTGTTATATAAACCTGAATAGCCACTTTGTACGTCAAACTGAGATATTATGCTGTCATATTGATTGAATTATTGTAAATGGACTATCTTTGTTCACTTAAAATAGTCAATACATAGTTCATAATTTATATTGCTTCTATTATAGTCACTTGATAGAACAAAGAACTTAAGTCTCTATATAGAGAGAGTAACCATATTCCTTAAGTAACTGTTTGTCACAACAACCATAATTCGGATGAGCTTATAAGCTAAACAATACCTACACAGGAGTAGCAACTCAAGAATTACTTTTTATATTATCTTTGGTTTACGCGTGTACTATATTTAATAAACTTTACCTAAATATAAATGCCACTATTGCTGAAAACCACGAAAATACAATATTGTACCATAATTGTAACAGATGACCCTAAATCAATAATAAATATTTACACAGGTAATAAAAGCAAACAAAAGAAATTAATTTGGAAAACCAAACTAAAGAATATTTACAAAATCAAATAAAATTGCTAATTATTATAAGCACTAACAAATAATAGACCTTTTGTCAGTTCACTCAACGGATAATATAATAGGTCCAATAATTCGTTGATTAACGTAATAAATACATCTAATAATATCTGCCCTTGTTAGAAGGTTAGTTTTAGCCGTGGTCGCATATAGTACGGTACGTACGGTACGGCGGACAACTCTTGACGTACCCATCAGGCACATTGAGACTAAGGCACTATAGTAGTGCCGCATTGCTGTCATTACCATGTAACAATTTTAGTAAGTTAAGATTGTTCATTACTTATTAGTTATTTACAAATACGTCTCTATTGCAGTGGATTGAAATATACAAGACTTTACGTCTTGTATATTTCATTTGGAAACTAATATTAATGGTAGTCGAACTTAGGATTCCCTTTATAAACTACGTCACCCACTCAACTATGAGTGGAGATCAATTTGAGTTAAATAGGTTAATATGGCAACGGATTTGGAAAACCAATGGATAATTGATTTTCGTTCCTTGAACATTTCATAACGTTGGTTGTAATGGATGCATTGAATTATAATTATTCAACGAAATATTGAAATAAACTTTCTCGAATCGGTTTACATTGTAATAAAATAGTTATCAGTAATAAGGATTTCTATATTCGATTAGATTTTTTTATTTTATGAGTATCTAATATATATACAAAAAATTAATATGTGTAAAAATTAGTATGTGTAGAAACTACAACTGCTATTCTGGATATAGAAACCGGAATATTAAGTACTGTAAGTACGAAATACTAAAGGTTACAAAGACCGACACAAAATACGAGCAGGTACATGGGTAAATCCTATAGGATTTAAACACAGCTTACATAAATTAGCTTGCAATACTGGAGAGTTCAAGTTTGGACTTCCACGAAAACTAATTCAGTTTCTGTGACGAACGAAAAAAACTATTTTCTAAGAAACATGAAATCCAGTCAGAGCATTTTCATAAAATGTATGTTAACATAACGTTAACATTGTTAACAACAGTGATTTTCTAAAACATTTATTTCCTCGTAATGGCTTTGTTGCAAGAATGATTTCATCTCGTGAAGGGAACGAGTCTAAAATTTCTAAATTAGGCAGCACGGTATTGAATCATACAAGTCTAGATTTTCACTCACGACCGTCGTCTGTTTCACGAACTTTCAAATGGGTCCTATATAGAAGTTTGCTTATTTAAAAAAAACTAAAAACTTTGGTATGACAGTTATGCTAGCTACGATCCGAATCCGCTGGTTTATTTATAAAAGTATATTTTCGTTCCTAAATCCTTTCGTTTCTAAATTATAGAGTCACTTATCATGTAAAGTGATAAAAATAATGATATTGAACGATGGTAATTTTATAAAAAATCCATAGTTAATGAACTGTGGATACTTTATCCTTTTATCATAATTTTGTGGTTTAAAACTTTCTAAAAATCTAATCTGGATCTTCTAAGTATTACACAGGTCACGGCTCTTAAAGTGTTTTTCAAGTTGACCTCGGAAAGTCAAAGCCAGGTGAAGGGGACTTCATGTTAACCATAAAAGTTCATGTCATATGTCATTATTTATTCGGCCCATTTTTAGTCTCGTCTTTAAAAACTGATAGTTATTTATATCCACTTAATAAATCCAAAATATGTAGGGTATTCATATATGAAGCACCTACAAATAATTCTACAGTTGACCTTTAAGTATACCAATGTAAAGCAAATGCAACGCTTGTTGTTTAAAATTCTACAACAATAGATTATCATAATATGATAAAAAATATAACTAATTAAGTCAGATTTCATTTAACTTTTTAAGTACGTCGTTGCGTTCATTAAGTTAAACATTTGGAAGTATATAACTACTGTCTACTAGCCAGTCACGATTGTTATAACGATCACTAGAAAATCACGCGTGTCTTGTAGCGTATCAGAATATTAACAGTGTATTATAAAAACAATGGTTTTAATCCAATAGCCGGAAGAGCAATGATTTACTTTTGACATGTACCTCACGACTATGACAATTATTACATAACATAGTTAACTCATACCTGTTTTGTTTGCACGTTTAGTCTTCCTAATATGTATAGGAGATTTAATTTTAATAATTGGTACCGTACACACGCTGCTTATTAATCATGGAAACTTACATTTAAAATTTATTTCATTTTATTCCTCAATCAAATGTATTTTCATTTAATAGTTTACTTTCAAACGTAAGCATTATTTTAGAATTTTTGACTTGACTTTGTCTTTTCCACACAATGCTTAGTACTAGTAGACTTTATCAGTACAGAAAAAAGGTTATCATTCTTACAAAATTGACATATCAAACTTATTGATTAACGTTATTATACGTTCACAATATTAATTATACTTCCTTGAATAGCTGTCGCTTTCTTTGCTTTTAGAGAAAAAAAACAAAACTTATATCAAATACAGCATTTACATTCGTTTTCTTGAATTTCCTCTACATTTCCGTTACGATGTCTACGCATAAGGACAAGCTACCTAGCTACCAATACTCACATGTATTACTTTTATTCCATATGTAACGATGCAATTAAACCGTCTCTTGGTTAAAATGTTTTATTTCATTGTCGAGGTTGATGTACCGTGAATGAAAGCCGTACGGCACCCATAATTACTTTTTGTCCTCAGTCTGAATGGAGACAATACAACATAATAGAGCCCCCTTTTATAATCAATAGGACATTATGAACAATTTTGTTAAATGAACTCGTGTGACATTTACATCAGCTGTAACATTATATTTCTGTATGTTTAGGTTAGGGATAGACACTTCTGTGTTGTGTCACTGATGACGTTTTTTAAGTAGGAGAAGGTAGTAGCCAACTGTGCCTTCTGCCAAGATGTTGCCTTTTACTTTCAACGGGAGTTGAACCCAGAATTTTATTTAAGTGGTTAATAACTTTCCTTTAAGCCGTAAAATGAATTGGAAAGCATTATGTGGTACGGTTGTCGGTGCAATAGGGTTGTGCGATAAAAATGCCAGAGATAGTTGAATAATATAAAAAAATAAAAAGTGATTGTTCTTAACTCTATGAGATATTAATCAACGACATTAATGGTATGGTACGAGGTCCTTTGTGACGGTAACGAAACGGAATTATTATTTAAAGGTAGCCCATGCCAAAAGGTCCTAGAGAGGTCCTCAATATGGCTTTAGTATTAAACGTAAAGGTATCGTTAGAATTTCTGACAGCATTGATGGAATGATGATTACGCTTCGACCGGGCCTGACCTTTGAAATTCCTACAGTGCCTAAACGATCGTAAACGATAAGAGAATTTCGTATAACTTGTACTAGCTATTTTAAAATGAAATTGTTGATCTGAATTCAAACTCTCTGATTGATCAGGTATAGGTTTATAAATAGTGCTGTGATAGTGTAATTTTAAGTAAATATGGGTAACACAAACTCTGGACACGGACAACGACAAAACAGCAAAAACAGAAAGTCAAGGAGTCTCCCGACATCGCCAGAAGTGAGAAGGTATGATTCATAAGACTCATTTGATTAAGTGTGAGAAATGTTTACTTTAGTGACAAATTTCTAAGAACTGCGCATTAATTTAATTCAAGTTGAAATGCGTGTGGGCTTCAATGATAATTAATTGATTGCACTGATAAGTTTCTCCATTAACAAGTCTGAAAGATTTTACATCCTGTAGTTAGGAAAGTGTTGTTAAAACTCAATAACGAAGTGAAATTAAGAGCATCTACTTAGTAGTGGCGATCTAAAAATATACCAAGCCTGATTCAAGTCACAGTTCGTCGATCTTTACAGCTAGCATATCATCAATATAAGCGAGAACTTTGATCTTACCGTCTTACACGGATCATTAGTAAACAATGCCTTTAAGACTATGAGTTATAAATACTGTACAAAAATATGTAACACACTTAACGTTTACTATGCTATTAAATTATATGTTGCATTTTGAAATATCTTAATTTCACTCCGCACCTAATCATAGTAATGTATCAAATCAAATCAAAATATTTTATTCATATGGGTAATACTATGTACACTTATGAACGTCAAAAAAAGTAATACATACTTATTAAATGCTTCTAATTGTACATTTACTGCCAGTTCTCAAATCAAGGGTACACCCTTTAGTCCATTGAAATGTTACATTTTTTAGGCCTTAGTCCTTACCTTGCGTTTTTTAGAGGACGCAATTTTATTTTTTTGATGTGTAGATGGGGTCAGTGTAAAGCTAAAAACAAGTTTGTGGGGTCGCCACCCTTGTCCCACGGCCGCCATCTTGGAAAAAGGGGTCCTAAAACCACGTTTTTGGCTATATCTCCTAAACTATCCATCGTACATAAAACTTGTAAAGACACATTTTGTAGTAAATCGCTGTGCCTACAATTATGTCTATGTAACTTTTTATCATAAATCCAAAATTCAAAAAGTTATAAGTAAAAAAGTGAAAACATTTCCTATTTCTAAAGTTGACTAGGTGCGTCAATGCTCATGACAAGCCGATCAAGACAGCAGTTTTACCTTACTTTTAAGATCTCTCGTTTATTTTAAACAAATTTTCCAAATATTTTTTTTTTTTTTTTTATATTCCTACAATTTTACTTATTGGTATTCCTAGTAGGCCTATTCCACAGACAACTTGCTGATATGGTAATCTTCGACATAATTATATTATCAATCAGTTATTAGAATGGTAGCTAGCTATCACTTTTTTATTTATAACTTTTTGAATTTTGGATTTATGATAAAAAGTTACATAGACATAATCGTAGACACAGCGATTTGCTACAAAATGTGTCTTTACAAGTTTTATGTACGATGGATAGTTTAGGAGATATAGCCAAAAACGTAGTTTTTGGACCCCTTTATCCAAGATGGCGGCGGGGGACAAGCACGGCAACCCCACAAACTTGGAGTTAAGCTTGTATTGACCCCCTACATGTTCCATAAATAAAATTGCGTCCTCTAAAAAACGCAACCCCAAATGTAACTTTTCAATGGACTACTTCGTGAACGGAAGAGAAGAACTGGCAATAAACTCTCTCTCTCTAACTTTATTTAAACTTAAATACAAAAAAATGTATTAGTATCTAAAAACTAATAAAATAAGAAAAATTTTTTGTATCATTTTATATTATCAAGGCTTTATTTATGGTTATAATTGTTTCCACAACAACTATAAACATGGTTTGCGCTATACTATTGTCCACATACAGATAAAACGTAATGTTTAACCTAATTTGCTTAAGGTAAAATACTATAGCAAGTTAGGTAGGTATATCATGGATACCGATATAATCACATCGGGTTTTGAATTTGGAACATTGAACCGCAAAATTTCGGCCTTCATTTCACCTGCAGGTTACCAACCTTTGATATTTAGGTCAAAGGGCTTAAGGACTTGATTTTTATCATTATCTCTCAGAAAATCGAACACGGTATTTAACCCATAAATTAGCGTTAATCTAGGTGTTTAATCGAATATCGTCAGCACTCAAGTGACCCAACTTGCCAAGTATTTTGTTTTATAACTGTTTGCAATTTCTTATTCTTTGCCTTATTATGTGTCAATCGATTTATTGTTGCAACTTTATTTTTTATAACATATGTTTATGAGACTTTTATAACCTTCACGAAATTGTTAGACATAATTTTCCTTTGAGAGATTTTATCACGACTTGCTTTAGAATTATAAGTGATATCGGAACCGTTTGACGATTAAATGCATGGCGTATGCAACGTTGATCGCGCAGTTCAGCCAGATGTTCATTGTTTGGTTCAAGTCATATTATCATAATTTTCAAAGCTTTGATCATACAAAGGACTTACTCATCTTTTTATAACGTTTAGAAGCGATAAGTTCTAAAGTAGATTAAACTATAAACTTGTTTGTTTACGTAGGTGGTCATACTCTTCAGAGGTCATAAACTTGATGGGCCAACCATCTCCATTCTTACGCCCGGATTCTTTCCAATACACCAATCGTATTAGGACCTGTCAAATGCGGGTTCTGTAGAGATTTTATTAATTCAATCTAGAGATGAAATACCGCCTGTATTAAGTTTATAATTTGATTGGCGAAACTTTATCGCATTTTCTTAATGTGTCTAATATCTACAGCCATACCTGTCAATTTTCTCTAGATAATTATTATTATATCATGCTACTAAAAATCACCGGTTCAGCGGTTTATACTAAACTAAAACTCTTTAATCGTCCAGCTCGATAAATACTACTCTCACCTACTAGCCTATGTTAAAATGGTTTTGTTTTAAATGCGACCACGCGCCCAGCATTGTGGTTTGTATTGACACGATCCTTTTGCTTTATTTTCACTTGATTTACAAAGCTTCGTTATTGATGCATTGGATTTACAATAAATACATCTGATTTTCCTAGAAGAACTTTAAACGTTTAATACTAATCCCTTATTAAAAAACATTAGTCCTATTATACTTTTCTAACTATACTTATGCATCTCTTTTTATTAGAGCATAAACACAATTCATAATAAGATTGATTAAGTTATATGAAAAAGTACGATAAGGTTAATCGGCTTTTATCAAAAGGAATGTGTCATTTTTCATAACGCATTTTTGTTTACACTTTTGTTGCGGACTCAGATATTGTTCCACATCACAAATCATTTTACGACATATCAGAAAGTCTCATATTACGCTTTATAGCTACCGAAGATTAGTATTTTATTACCAAGTTAGTAGGCAATATTTTCTTGTCTCAATCAGTTTTACAGCCTACGACAGATATGAAGTAGAATTTATAAAGTAAATTATATCTATTTGAATATGTACAAAAGTGAAAGTTGTAGTTTCTCAAGGTAGGTTCATAACACTTTATCACTTTGCAATACTAAGGAGTAAATTATTCAAATACATCTATTGTTCGTAACTTGTTTAATATAGGAATTATAATTGAAACAAAGTTTATAGTGTGTTTGGTTATTTTATGACATGTTATAGTCAGATATATATTAATTATATTGAACATATAGAAGACGAAATGTTATTTTATTTAACTGAAATGTTTTTGTTATTTTAAGAATAGTCTTACGGTTCCTGTTAGGTACTTCCTACTTAATATACCTATTTTTTCATCTTTATCTGTTTATATTAAGTTATAACATTGATAATTGTATTAGTTTTTAATAACATTTTATCATCGTTATTTACAGGCAAGTCTCAGTGCTGCAGACATCCATCCCCCTACCTGCGTCTGCGGCGGCCGTGCGACGTGCCCCGCCGGACAAACGACCGTTGCCCGCCACGCCTGTTCACGGTTAGTTAGCAAATTCACATCTATGCGCATTACATTGCTATGATGAAAGCTTAAGGCAGTATTTTTAAAAGAAAAAGATTAAATAAGAAAAAATGGTAATATAGACTTTATTACATATTATTTATTTTTGGTCAACTGATAGGTGTAACTTATATCATAACTAACTTATTATGTATATAGTCTCCAAAATAAAACACACTTTAATAGCAAATACAACATGGATTTAATACGTAATTTTCAGTAGCTTAACTAAACGATTAACCTAAGCTTAGATTCAATTTTATGAATAATTTGTTCAAAAAAGTAACTGAAAATACGAAATGAGGTGATACAGATAATTTTAATGTGGGAAATTGATGTTATCTCAACATGAAATCTGCATGGGAGCGATTAGACAGCTGATAGCTTCGCCATAGATAATGACATGGTCTTTGGTATTTTAAAAGCATTCGAATATATTCAAAAATTGTAACAATATATCTATGTTATTTTCGAAACAGCCTTATAGTTAATTGTAAAAATGCTCGCTTTTACGCATGATTAGTGTTATCATGAATGTTTCATTATTTATTTAAGAAGAACCAAAGATAATTACGTTTAATCTTTTATCTGAATTCTTATGTCATAGATAAGGATATTTATGAAATATTATCATTACATAACACGCTGTTAGTGCTCTTAAAGCAATTTGATTAGTGATGAGAAATACATATTCCTTACTATATGAAATCTAGTTACAAATTACTATGAAATGACATAAGTTTAAATTACTAATACATAACTTGAAAAATATCCAAACAACTTCACAAGTATAAATCAGTATAAGTGAAAGAAAATTAAGTTTAGTAGCCTAAGTAGATTCACTAGACATCCGGCAACAATGGATACGTACAATTCAATTTAGTAATTAGTTAATGGCATCTCTAGTTAGACGGAAAGGTTTTTGCTCTTTCTCAATATAATTTATTAGCGGCACTCAAGTTCACTTTGCGCAGACAAAATTACATGTCTGGTTCTTAGTACTAGAAGTCCTAAATTTGTCCTTGTGGGGTTAGAAGAATAGTTAATATCAAGTGATTATCCTATACTAAATTAGATTGTATAGGCTATGTCTTATTATTTATTAAGGCCTAACAATAGTAAAATATTTATTTTAATAAAATATGAACCACTAATAGCGGTTTAGAACTTGCATATTCTGTATTACATTTTTTAAATAAAGAAATATAAAAATATAATATGAGCAATGTAACATTATTAATCTACATTGAAATGTCAACGGAAAGTTAATGAAAATACAAAATAATTTTTATTTTAATTCAGTGCAGTACCCACCAGTCGCATATTCGGCGGTACCTAATACAAAATCTTATTATTTTCCATTTAACAAACGTTCCTTTGGTAATAGTGTTTAAATGTTGATGGCAAATATTTCTTATGATATGTTAACTTAATCAATTAATAGTTAAAATAATTCGCAAATAATTTACCTATTCATTGTTATTAATTAAATAAAAAGACGGTCTAACTGTGGTATAACATCCGCTAGACATTGTGATAATGAAAACACTTGCCAGTTACGACTCTTGCGCAGGGGAAGCGATAATCTCGAGATTTATTAATGCCCAATGCTATCGAGTGTCTTGTCTGCACACTGCAGTTGATGTGCACTCTTCAAGGGGAACACTTGTTAGTGAAGTGTCAGTGAAGTTAATTATATACGTTATTAAGTGTTAGAGAGTAAGTGCCGCTGTTTTCCCTTTTTATCCACAATACGGAGCGAGTTTATTTATAGATAAATATGAGACATTTCTTATCATGACTGGGATATATCTTATGTAAACAATATCTCACTGTGCTCCAGAATTGACGTTTATCAAACTTTAATAATAAAATGCCTTTTAGTTATGTTAGTTAATAGAAAAATCCGTATCTCTATATCAGTTAAATAATATTTCATTAATTTGACGTATACTCAGATATGCGATACCGGAAGGTTTAAATATGAAACATTTTGTATAGTTATAATCTCAAAAACCTCTCCTATATAAAAGATACATTGTGGTTACTACAGGTAACAAAGTGCCAAATTTCCTAGCGTGGATTGTATGTATAAAGATTAACTGATTATTTTTTGTAAATATTATCACGTCCATTGTTGTAATAATTGTAAATAATTACGTCTTGTTGTATATTTAAATCAGTGCAAATATATTTTCAACAAATAAGAATAATGTAGGTACCATAGTTTGCGGACGGTAAGTGGTAAGACAAAATGATGGATCATTGCAAATGTACGGATGGCCCAGTAACACTTGATTTGGAGTTGATTCGGATGACGCATCCAACTTCCTCTTATGGCTACTGTTCTAATTCATTGGAATGTATGTTTATATAACTTGGGAATGTAATAGCTTCTAATGAAGGGAATACTAATTTGCCGAATTAGTGTGTTAGGCGTGTTTGGCAATGATTTCTCGTCTTAAACGAATACTTTGTTCTAAAAATTATAATAAATTAGTACGACATAAAACAGTATTGGATACCTAAATAATAATTATTCATTATAACGAACAACTTCAAATTGCTCTGACAACGAGGTTGAGAAAAAGTTACATTTAGCTTACCAATTATACAATTTAAACATTGTACTTTTAATACTATATATTCCAAGAATAAAACATGAACTCAAACAAACATTTTACTTTAATAATTCGATACCAAACATGGGACGTCTGTTTTACGTAAATAGTTCTAAAATTGGTAAACAATAACTTATTAGTATACAATAAAATTTTATCGAAGACTACATTTCATTAATAAATTATTTAATATTCATATTAAATTTCAGACGTATATTATTTTTTTAAATGTTTGTATTTTTCAAAGACTACCGGGAGCAATATTGACCTAATGAAATGTACTCAGGCATGACGTCAAATTATATTTTGTTAAACAAAGCGCGATCAATATAGGGGACCAATTTTATAGAGCTTATTACGATCAGCTGGCGTCCCCTAAATGAAATAGTTTTTAAGGGGTCGCAAGGGGTCTCGGAGATCAAAATAAAACTGGGTTAGATAACATACAAATATGTGGTAATTCTTTCCCATTGAATCAGTACTAGCCGTGAACGCGACAATTGCTGAATGGTGTTTCTAAAAAACAATAATTTTAAATCAAAGATCCTAAGAAAGTTTTTGCTCACAGGTGGAAAAAGTGGTTTATCTGCAAGCTCGAGCCGTTCCACCAGTCCGTTGGGACAAGGAGCTGCAAGTTTCATACCTCGGGCACCGGCTTCATCATCAGGGTAAGATAATAAATTTACTATCTACTGTTAGTGTTGATTTATAACATATTAGTTTTTAACTGTAAATGTTTTCACACTTCTAAAAACAATTGTAATGTAATGCATAAAATTATCATACAACATTTATTTATTATCTTTAATTGTATAGTTTCCAACTAAAAACATTTTGGTTTTCATAGGTCAAGACCAAACTCGTCTCTGCTAGCGCCTAGCAGTAAGATTCCATCAACCTTATCAACACCGCCGCAATATTCACAAAATGTATCCAGCCACAATGGAACTCCGACGAAGCAATCCATGCTTGATAAATTAAAACTATTCAATAAGGATAAAGTCAGCAATGAAAAGCCGACAAGTAAAAGTACTACTGTATCAAAACGAACCAGTTCCTCAAGTGGCTTTTCTTCCGCGAAGAGTGAAAGATCTGATTCTAGTCTCAGTTTGAACGAGTCTTCCAATATCCCAAATACACATATCAAATCTAATATAGTTGGCCCGAAAAATCTTAGACTTCAGAATGATACCTTGATGAAAGACAAAACAGGTAAAAATGTAAAATCTAAATTACTAGGATCGAAAGCTACGAAAGAAACTTCAATGAATTTAAATAAATCAAACGTTAAATCAAATAATGAACGATCAAAAAATAGTCCAAAATTATCAACGCGTGATAAAGATTCTAAATTAGCAACGCCAAAATCTGTTAGCAATACAAAGTTAAATTTAATAGACGACAATTCTAGAAATAAGTCCAAGTTAGAATCAAAAATGGTCAAATTGTCCGGTAGTCAAGCAAAATTATGTGAAAGTAGAGGAGATAATAGCACAGATAGCAAAATATCGGAAAGCAATTCAATTAATACAAAAAATCAAAGTCAAATTCAATCGCCATCACCAACAGGAGGACAAAATATATCATTACCAAATCACACTGGAATTCCAAAGCCAACGGCTGCTGTTAAAGGAACAACTAAGATATCACGAGATGAAAGACATTTACAAAAAAGTTCTAATAGTCAACTGAGTCCTATTCAAAGTAATTCTAGTTTAAACTCCACAAATAATGTAAGTGTTCCACCATACTCAAGAGAACAATCAAATGTAAATAAAGAATCGAATCAAAAACAAACATTAGCGGTTTCCCCAATGCCAGTAACAAACAATACTCAACTTCATCAGAATCCGATATCACAGATGTCTGAAAGCTCACATTCCAATTCTACTCATAGTACTACAGGTCAGCAATCTAATTCTAGTGATGGTAGTGTTATATACAGGCCTTCTAGTGAATCTGGATCAGAAATTTCAAAAAGCAATGTTAGTTCGAATAGAAAAATAGATATGAACGCTACGTATATAAATGACGTAATAAATGAAGCAGAACATTCAGAGAAAGAAGCAGCTCAGAAGAGAAATTTAAACAGCCCCGGTATCAAGCAAATATTTGACCATAACAGAACCCTAACTGAAGAGAGACATGACAGCCGTTCTAGTACACCGACACATTGTAGAGATAATTCGTTAGGTGAAGATGACAACCCTTTAATGAATGTTATGCCAATGCGGCCCTTACTAAGAGGTTATAACAGCCATCTTACTTTACCAATCCGAACTTCAAGCTTAGCCCAAAAGAATTTAACTGCGTATCCACATCACGCAAATACTGTCAAACCCAATTTTGGTCGAGATAATAGCTTTCGTGAACGGTTAAATTTCAATGCAGGTTTTTCGAATCCAGATTACTGTGATCTAGAAATTGCATCAGGTTATATGTCAGATGGAGATTGCTTGAGGAGAATTAATATGAACGAAGTAGACAATGGCCGTAGCAACGACATTATGGATGGTTATATGTCCGAGGGCGGTGCATCACTCTATGGTCGTCGTATGAACTACCAGCAGCAATCACAGTTCCAACAAATTGATGAAAGGTAAGATATTTTCAAGAGTCTTAGTAGTATTATTCCTTAAAAAACTATAATATAATGTAGCTTATAGGTTTTTAATATCCTACATTCGATTAAAGTACTTAGCAAAGCTTTTTAATAGGATTTTACAATAGGTTGGGCATGCTCTACAATCCACAAGTGGTTGCCGTATCGTATCACCACGTTTTGCCTCAAAGCTATAAAACACGTATCTATTTGCTCCATTGAAGCTAAAAGAGGGGTATATATAAATACCTTTCTATCTCATGTTTTAAATTAGGATTCATTTCAACTTATATTATGGTCCCTATATTAATTGCTTTATTTGATAAAATGTAATGAGAATAAAATTTACAAATAAATAACGAAATTATATGAGATAAATAATACAAACAAAGCGTTTATTTGAACACCCATGCGATCCGGCATCTCCCAACGAAGACTCACATAGCGCACTCACACTGTCGCATCGCAAGGGGCGAGCGGGGTGGTCAAAATCGATACTTCTACGTCTCACGTCCCTTCCCCGCGCGTAACTATTTACCACACCTCAACCCTAACCACCCGCAATACCGACCTTCAGGTATCTTGATACCAGAATTCTAATATTTGTGGTACTATATACTAGATTCTTGATATTCACTTAATTAAAAAAATAGCTCCTTTCCTGTATGTTTAAATTAAAAGTCTTGATAAATCTCGTATATCCTAACATAAACACATGCTTTCTTTATTTCATCCTTTATATATTCTCCGAATCAGTAGTAATAACTGAAGTGATTATGTAAATAGTATTAAAGGCTTACTAGTGTGTACACTGTACTCTGGAGCCTGGTGCTGGCGGACGGGTAGGGCGGGCGGCATTCGGCGCCGCGCTCTACGGGCGTGCGGGCGCGCGCTATGCCCGCTAAATACACACGTGAAAAACTTTCCCGATTTCTGATAATGTAAATCCGTTTTGAAATCGATCGTGGCATCGTTCGTTCACAGCTGGACCGCTTGACAAAGACTCGACGCGAAACGAATCCTGTGAACTGCGTTAACGACTCGGTACTCGCTCCTGTTAGTTATTAAGTGTATCCTAGAACGGAAGGACGATTTTTGTTCCGGCATGTACTGAAATTTCGGTAGCTGAAATTAATTGTGAAGTTATAAGTGTTGCCTTGTGTGTGTCTTTGCTTTTAGCAGTAGAATAATTGGTGCTTTGTAGATGTTTTATACGGGACTTTTAGAATTGAAACAAGTAGAAACGAATATGGTAAGGACTGAGGATATTTGTTATTTTTGTTATCAACCATCGGCTTTACACTTAAACAGTTGAACTGATTATAATTGATTTATATTAAGGTCATACATTTTTTACATATATATGATACCACAATTTATTGATAGTCTAATGTTCAACGATCAAGACACGTTTGCATACATGCTCCCAAACCGTTCGTACAATTGGGTTGGAAAATCTACTTTAATATATACATACTTAACAGACTTCTAGCTGTCTATGATTCTTATTAAAGGAGCAATAACCTTCAACATGTGGAATATTATTGCAAAATGATTCGTTTATGACATCTGTGGACCAGTTGTAATCTTAATGGTTTTTATTACGTTTATATGTTCACAAAAGATCGTATAGAAGATTTTTTATCAAATGCGACCCCGGCTCTGCCAGCCATTTTAGATTAGATAATCCTCTGTATGTGTAAACAACTTGAATAGCGTTTTAAGTAAAAATGTTACCATTTCATGATAGAGGTCTTTACGAATTCTGTTTCTACCTTATTCATATATTTTTCTTAATGGATATAAGTAGATGACTGGTCTACTGTGGTTTTAAATGCACCTGGTATTGGCGAACTGAAACTTCTCGAAGTTATTGCTTTCATTTCTATTGTTTTTTATATGAAAACCATATTGGTCAGTTAGTCAGATAAAAGTTAAACCCGAAAAATATATTAGCTTTCTTTGGACCCAGGTATAATATGAATCAAATAATCAGATGTTAAATGGGTAATTAACAATAAAAATATGAGCGATGAGTCTTTACGAGTATTCTAATCAGGTATATACTACATATGTGTAAAAATATGGTTTTAGTAAAACCTATATCGTGAGGAAAAAGATTTTACCTTGTCAAGAGGAAATTTGAATTCAGCATTTTGATGCGAGTCGACCCTTTTGTAATAACAATTCTGATTCAGATTCATGTTACCTTCCAAATCGTAGCTTTAATAATAAATAATAATAATAAATGCAATGTCACTTTTTACAATTAAGGGAGATTCAGCATAGATATAGTTGTATCTTGAAGGAAACTTTAATAACCACTTGTAGATCTACACATAGAATGGGATGCTAGAACCCAAAATTGTATCATAAATCTCTTTTTCACTTTTGACGACCTGAATACAAATACCTACTGATAGAACTTAGGAAAATGCTACCTTGCAGGCGAACGTTGCTTAAACATGCCTCAATGTAAAAGGTCGTGATTATAGGCTATTTTAGAAATGTCAAAAAACATATTTTACAGCTATTTGTTGTACAAGCATCTATATATTATGTACATCATTATTAAAGTACTGACGGGCACAGCCGTTAGTGAATCATACTTTCGATTGTTTCATGTTTGAACACTTGTGCCGCATATTGCTTCAATCAATGTCCAGTACTTGGAAAACTTAGTGTAAATCAATTATAAATTATGTAACTTAGATCATTTTATACACATTTATTGTTTTTAATTGAATTATTCAAATACCCAATATCATTTATTCATGTAGGTAACTTTTGTATATGAATGTCAATTATTTTTTTAATTAACTGCCAGTTCTTAAGTTAAGGGTATAAAACATTCGAGAAGAACTCACAGAAAACTCCTACTTTCCTTTAGATCGCCAAGTATTTTAAAATACCAAATCATTTATTCATTTAGGCAACACAATTTACACTTATGAACGTCCATAAAGAAATACATATTAACTGCTTCTATTTTTTCATTAACTGCCAGTTCTCAAATCAAGGGCGTAGAACGGACAACAAGAACTGGCAATAAAATCGGCACCCTTCTTCTTAATCGCCAAATTAATATTAATAATAAAAACTTTATTTATGACAAAAGGGTTTGTGTTAGAATTTTTTGTTTTACAATTTTTTTGTAAGGAGCTGCAACCATTACACCATGTTCATGTTCTCTCTCTCTTTTTACAAGTCTATATAACATGTCTATGTAAATTTCGATTAAAAAAACCATACATTTAGCCTCTCCCAGCAGTGGGCATGGCGAAATAGAAGCACGCACATACATTATAGTGAGAATAACACGCAATTGGAATGTAATTTAAAACAGTATATAAATTGCTCAAAGAAGGTCCATTCCCCAGTCGCATTTTACGTTTTCTGTGCATACACTTTAAAAAATAATAAGTTTCGCAATGACCGAGGGGTCTTCCGTTCTAGCTTGGCTTGTAATTGATATTCAATACCTACGTGTTTACTAAAGCTTTATCCCTTACAATCGACGGAAGCGCTACAGTTCTAAATACAGAGTTAAACACTTAAACACCTGCTATTAGATACTTCTATTAATCCCGGCTTTCACTAGGGTTTTGTTTCAAACACGTTTTTTAACAACTCAATTTACAGTATTAACGAATAATTTTGAAAAAGATTATGTTAGACAAGAGAGCATCATTCGTGTGGTTCAATCCATAGTCCATACAATCTGTGCAATAATTCACTTTTACACAGTTTGTAAGCCATATTTAAAATGTAGGTAATACACTAATAATAATAATTCCTGATTTACAGTTATTTTAATATCTTCGTTATCTACGAAATGAGAGAGAGTAGAAAATCGGCGCACATAATATAGTCGTACATAAGCAAATGACGTAAGCGTCGTATGAATTAAGTTAAATTTGTGATTGTGAATAACATTTTTCTTTTAATAAGCTATTAAGCGGCATATAACAGTTAAGCTGGAATAAATTCTACAACAAGATTAACATTCACTATTAACATGTATTGTATATTGTCTATGGTGAAACTTTGAGAAATAAAGTGAAAATTATGATATTTCAATAAAAAAGCCAGTAAGGTTAAAAAAAATGATAATTAATATTTATCGGCCATCGGTTTCACCTACTCTTAATTAAAGATGTAAATTATATCCGTTATTCGATTTACGATCGTTGTATCTGAACCGATTATTCCTTATTTACATGCAAACAACAGTAACTTTAAAATTACTCAACTACATCCTTTGATATAATTTGGTAAGGAGAACAAAAATAATTACCAAATCGAATTGTCAACATTAGCGATGTAATAATAATAATTCTTCTTGTTGTGTTCTTCGGGCCAACTGATCCACGGCGGCTAATCAGTCTAAAATAATGTTAGGTAGGTAAGTGGGTAGAAAAATTGGTGACAACTGTCTACGAAGCACAAAAAGTTGAAAGTCGTATATCTAGTACTGAACTAGACCAATACCGACTGTACATTACTTAATAGTGTTTACAAGTAATTCTTAACGTATCAAGCTTGCCGTTTGGTACAATTTTAAAAGCACCGCATTCCGGATTGCCAATCTTGCTGATAAGAAATTGACTCGAAGTTATAGCTACTCGGAATTCATCTTCTAAGTACTCTCGATAAAATATCCGCTGAGCAACTTTTCCTATCGAACTTTGAATATTAATTTAAGTGTCGCATAATTAAATTTTCGCTTATATTCTATGGTTTAAAAAATATAAAATGGAATATGAGAACAATGTATTATCAGAATTAATAAACGCTAATACATAGTAAAGAAAACATTTATTTCAAGTATAATATATGAAAATACAATTATTAGATGTTTTAGCGAAATTCAGCAAATAACGTTACGAAGTAGTTTAAAAGCTAACTAAGGTAAGGTTAGGAAAGGGAACAACACGCCATGGCGGGTCAATACTGGAATAAAATATTAATATATTACAGAGGTCACTTACTGTTTACCCTAGAAACAGTCTAGACTATCGTTTTCTCAAATGGAGGGTCACGATGGGGTCCCAAAGGGGTTCTTTTATAACACCCTAAGCATAGCTACGGTTGAATTATTATAATTTTGTGCATAAAATACTATATATTGCAGAAACGTAATTTGTTGTAAATCATTGCTGGAACATAAATATATCTTATTTATTAACTCTTCGCTTTTAAGGTTAATACAAAAAATTATTAATTATAATGTACGTGTACGTGACTTGTGTAAAGCGAAACCACTTTAATTTTTGTATACTCATCAGAAATATGGAATATTTTTTAGGAATTTTCAATAACGGTTTAGGACATTAAAATATTAATTCCTTCATATAAATTGATAAATTGTATGACATTGTATGTGTAATTATTTTAAGACCCGGTACCGTGACTCAGGCCATACGATCGATTTATTAAACACGTTATAACAAGAGGTTTAGGGGTTGATTTCTGGCCTTCGTATGTATATGTATAATGTATATACCGATAGCGATCGAAGTTTCATTATTCCAGTACAGGGGTTTTTCTCTAAAAATGTACTCATTTTACCATGCTTTAAAGTTGGGAACTCCCTTCTATCGTATTTTGCACGTTCATGAGTCGGTCAGGCCAGAAAGAAATTACAAAAATAGAGATTTTGATATCAATATTTTTGTCTTAAAGAGAACCCTCTTGCAATGACGATCGAAGCACCTGCCTCCTAAATTTTACCCCAGGAATTCGAAAAATTGCTGGCAATTCATTACCTCCTTAGGAAGAATAGGGGTACGTTCATTTATAAATAATGAGGGCGGTATTCAAATCCTTTCAGGATCCGTCATCATTAGTATAGAGCTTGGGGCGCGGCGTCGGATTTTCATTAAGACACCGATGTTTCAAATACTCTGCTTGCACGGTGTGAACTGTAATACCTTATTTACCTAGGTTCCATCAGCAAAGCAACGAATAAAACAGAAAAAAACATACGCGTCGAAGTGTCAACCGCCTCCATCTGGTTGTTTGACGTCGCTTCGATTGAAAATAATAGGCGCGCTAAATTCGTATTGTTCACTTATATATACATTTAAATTATGTTAATAGATTATTAATATTAGTTTGACGTTATTTTTTTTTAAATTCGCATAAACATTTCATTCCAAGTCAGCGATTTCTTTTAAACTGTAACAGAAAGTGATGATAGATAGCACTTTGTTTGTAGGAAACCTTAGTGTGAATCGTTACAATAACTGAATCCTATTTGGGTCGACCTTCGGTTTAAATATATTTCTGAATAGAAACCATTTTATTCGTATACGTTTTTAATTGTTTTAGTGCTTCATTTGTTTCTCTAAAATTTAACTCTTTCACCATGATAAATAGAGACACGTACTTAGGTGCACTAATAAGGTGTGTGATTAAATTATAAGTTAAGTATTTTTATTAGTAAACTCGTAAATATTGTATTTACAATTTTAAAGTAATCGCTTTTTAGATTTACCTTCAACCCAAAATCGCGGACATTAGTTAGTGGAAATATATAGGTCTTGCGCTTTTCATTATTACAGAATGTTTTTCATTCCCTTTACCTCTTTAGAAAATGACTTGGATGCCTTTATAGCAAAGGAACGAGATAAACACACGTGACATAGTTTCCATTCAAAAATAATAAGAGTAGGTCCCTTTTATAAGATGAAAAACGTAGCTCGTCGGTGAGTAATTCTAGATATGGTTATTGTAAGGTCCCGCAACCCATGGGGTAGACATATTTTTGCACTTTGTTTTTTTTTCTATTTTCGTGTAAGTAAGTTGGTGATTGTTGATTCGCCGGCGGTCAAACCGAGGGTTTCCGGGTTAAATCAGTCCCAAAATATGACGACACCTATATAATTAAATATATTAAATGATATATATTATTAGTTTATATTAGTTACTATTTTTTGGGGCTGTCAACTGCCCATTATACGGACTTTTTAATTTATACTATACATTGAAATCTTTTAAATTACCTTCGAAATTATGAGATTTATTAATCTATTTGACGAACATTATAATAATTAAGTGCCATCCCTTTCTTCAATTGACAAATCAAACAAATCAAAACATACTAATAAAAGTTGGTTTAAAATTATCCACAAACATCAATGTATTTTTATTTGTTTTCATACATTCTTATCAAGAATTAATAACTGAATGAAAAGATCTATTCATTGGAATGAAGACTTCTTTGTTCTTCCGGACGTTGTGATAGATGAGCTATATACGTATTCCTACATGTTAAAGGACTTTAATGCTGAATATATTATATTATATACATTTTCGTTTAATGGTAATTTTTCGAGAAAAAAATCGGCATTACTTTATAAGGTTGTTTAACTTAATAAAACAGTATTTGTTTAATTCCAGTAAAACCAGAATATATATTAAAAATAAAAGCATTTCCCTGACATACATTTAAATAAGGTTAATATGTGCTTTGAAAACACATTTTATGGCCTATTCTGTTTTTCAATAAGTGCCGCATTTTAATACCAATATACGTTTCTATTCTAGGTTTTAATATTTCGCTGTTTTAAACGCTGGCCGAAAATAAAAAAATCATTTATATAAAGTAGGTCACATGCGAAATAAACTCTCATATAAATAGTCTTTGTTCCACCCCAACGTTTGTCTTTTATCTAACAGGCTTTTACAAACTTTGATAATAGTTAATAAAGTGCACCTTCCCCACAAAGCCTGCTAGGCTTCGTTAGTTCAATGTGCATATCTGCCTATACAATATACATGACTAGCTTCCAGGGGAAATGCTAAATTGCGGCTTGTCTTTGAAATGTATATTTAAAAGGCTAAGGGTCTGTTTCTCAATGTATGGATAAAGTACCAAATAGCTATGCAACACATAAATTATTTGGAAGATAAATTGTTCTATTTGACATTCATCGGACTCATAACTTATGATGGACTTTATGTGACGAATAACGCTATCTGACAGTCGTGGAAGCAACAATAGTGTTTATCGTACCAATAAGTATTAAATAGCTAATTTGGAACTATATCTTTGCGAATTTAATTCAGTAGTACCATTACTCAAAACTTGGACTATCCAAAATTATTGTTAAAAATAGTATAAAGCAAAGCAAGCAAGCAGTAAATTATTAAAAATAGTATAAATAATAAGATTACGATTTCTTGAAATCACAGAACGCATGAAATAAAATATATTTATTTTATAGTAAACAATTTAAATAGATAAACAACACATACAATTATTTGAGTCAGAACAAAAAACTTCGTTCCCGTTATGTTAATGAATACCTACGCCTTTTATTTAAAAGTATATTTTAGTTCGCAAAAGAAAAACCGTAAACAGAATTTTCAAACAAAATTTCAAAGCTCAAACTAAAAAGGAAATTGTCCTGTTTCATACAAAACTTTAGGCATTATACAGGCTATTGCGGGGTGGAGACCTACATAATTATTCCCTACGCATTAATCACACAGGTGTTAGTCACCACAACCCTACCCTGAATTATAAAGGGGTTAACAGATTTTAAACTGTAATTTCGCAGGTCCCAAAGCGTAAATATTTAAATATAATTGCACCTCAAATATCTTTCACGTCACAGAGGTCCAGGAGAGTCCTTTTAAAATATGTACCAGATCGAGTAATTTATGTAATTAATTCATGTCTGTGTCATTCTCTATATCAGTAAGTAATATCGATCAATAGTTTGTTACCCTTTAACCGTCCATGATCGTATTTAGTACAAACATTTTTAAATTGTAGTCCATGCTTAAAGTTACTTTACTAAAAGACAGTCACTACGGGATCCCACAACGTTGTAAATTGTTAAAGTTTATTATTGATGCTCTTCAGTAAAACCCCTAACAGTGATCGAGCTTCACAGCATGAATAATATTGTGCAGTGTTGTGTGCACTTTGAGTTCTGACTCATCTATTGGGGTTCGCCTCCCTCGTTTCTTTTGTTAAACGTCGGTTGTTCTATACAGATAAAGGTATGAAAAATTGAAAAACGTTTTCAAAAAGAGCAATCATTGTTTTGTATCTGAAGATTTAAATGCGCTTGGCTTGTTTCATATAAAATACTTAAAGTAAATATTAAATTACATAAGAAATTACACTTGAAGCATTGATTTCATTATAGTGATTTGAGGTTAGTTTTACTATAATTAAAGCCGATAATTTCTCTTACGCTAACTGTTAAGAGAGTGTGTTAAAGCCATAAAAATTAGTACTATGTGAATTTTGTTGTATTTAAAATTATTTCTTTTTTTCTAGACGTGGAGCACGTAGAAATATGGAAGGTGGGAGTGGAGTTGTGTACCGTGTAGTAGGACGTACTCGAAAGACGGATTGTGGGCAGCAGACGGAGAGACAGCCGCCGAGGCAAGACACAACTTGGAAGAAGTACACCGACTCCCCTGGTGTTGGGGCTCCACCAATGGTAATATGACTCACATTTATTTCTACTATGAATGAGTGGGCAGTAAGCAAAGTAGACAACGAATGGGTAATAGCGTTAATTATAAATACTCTGTAAGCCTTAATTAGGTAAAACATGTTTTGTCACGTTTAGTTATTTTTAAAGTGCCACGTGAGTGATAGGGAAAAATAAATTTTGATTATATAAAGATGGTGTTTAGGCGTCATGACCTTTAGCAATTTACGTAGTCTTTAATCTGTTACTTGCGATGTAAGAGTGTCGGCCTAGGTAAGGAACTAAAAAAATTTGGTAAATTAGCTCGAAATACATAAAGGTTATTTTATAAATTTTGATGAGGGTAATCCATATTATTGTAACTAGGCCGATCGTCATATTTGATTCACTTATTTTTGTTTCGCTTTGGTCCCTACGACTGAGAATTGTGTGCCTTTCTTCATGTTAAAGATATATCGAGGCGAGGTATGTACTACTCAGTGTTTATTTTTTTTATGATAAAACTGTGTAACAACGGCCACCGAACCGTTCTGTGTCCTTCATTCCAACCGTGGAAGTTTTATAAAATTAATTCAAATTATATTCGAAAAATTTCAGAGCCAGCCACCAGCTCCTCCGAGTCCATCTCATAGTCGAAAGAGTGAGCGTCGTGCGGGTCACCACTCGCCACAACACAAACGAGAGAAACTCACTGCCGCACAGCAACTCGGCATCGCGCCACACCCTCAGGTATTTACTTATTTACACTTAGTTGCAAGAAATATAGTACAATAATTAAAATAATTTAACAATAAGGAGGGCAACGAGCGGCTAATGTGTAAAGAATGGTTTAAAATTAAATAAGATGAGCGCAAGAAGTGCAAACCTTCATAAGATATATAATTACTTACTACATAAAGATTGGAAAAAAAAAAAAAAAAAAAACAATCTAAAAATTTACTAAATACGCAAGAACTAAATGCCATCATAGACATCACCATTCTCCAAAAACAAGCCGACATTGACACCTCAACCATAACCAATAAAGTAGTTGGAGTTCCTATTCCTACATCGAACCACTACACCACAGGACACGACCAATACTACAATTATAAATTTTTATGGAGACGTGAACCCTTTTATCTTGAGGGTCTCAAGACGGGGTCACTGACGATACACCGGCTGTATGCTGTGCAGATTTTGATCAACCTTTTAAATATGTAGACAATGAAAAATATAATAAATACCATTAATAACATCGGAATGAACAAGGAAAGCCAAGAAATTTTATAATAATTTGAACTTTTCTCAAATTCATCAAATAACATTTCAACAATTCAATTTCAACAATTAACTTTAGTCCATGTTTGTTTTTCCTATAAAAATGAAATAAAGTTTCGAGAGTACACTATTTTGCTATAACCTATAAAATAAAATCGTCAGGAAACCGGCTTGCCTTAGACTCAAAAAGTCAACGGTGATCAGCTTCCTGTGGCTTACACACCACGGGAAGCTGATCACCTAATTACCTATTAGACTGAGAGAAATGATCATGAAACACACAGAAATCCGAGGCCCATACCTAAAAAGGTTGTAGTGCCACTGATTTTATTAAAATTAAAAATGGCTGCGGTAAATATAAGAATTAGCGTGTCCTAAAATTTTAAGATAATGCAAATCATTTTTGCTTTGACAAACGAATGTCATTATTTATTACGGAATAACTTTATCAACAGATTCGATAGCTTTCAGTTTTCACCGGGCCAAAGTGATTAAGTAATACAATTAGTCTAGTTAGCGAACAAATACGGAAAACTCGACTTGGCATTGTTCCACACTCAGGTGACCTAACTTTATTGTACCGTTTTTCGAGTACTAACCTGCGCCAAAAAAGGTTCTGTTCGCAGCTAGTTCCGCAATAATAATTCTTGGCACCTCGCCATACAAACAAACCTGCATTAAATGTGAAGAATGATTAAATAATTGTTAGGTTCGTTATATAAACGTAACGTTGGAGATTATGAAAGTATCACTCACCAACGAAAATGATTATGATAGTGTTTGATATAGAAACGGATGCCGCTCAGAGACGTTACTAAGTTCCGACAATATGAAGAGAAAATTGTATAGAATTATGTTAATCTAATTAAAATGTTGCTGTTAAGAATTTCTTTAAAGAAAAATATTATTCAAAATATATTTTAATATTGTTTATTATTTTTAATTTCAGTATGCTGCCGCTAATTCTCCAAATCAGCATGGATCAAGACAAGGAGGCAGTGCACAGGTAATGTTTTTAATCGAAACATATTGCCAAAGTATAAAGTAAAAAACTAGGTTTTTCAGTTAAGAATAGAAATCTGTTTGCTATCTGTGTCTTACCTTTTCTTCAACTAAAGAAAAACGTTTGTTTTGTTTTAAAACTAATAAGTAAATATACATTTCAGCTTCAATCCCCAAGTGGAGGCTCTCGACCATCCAGTGTATCAAGCGGTAACGGGAGTAGCTCATCAAGCAAGGCCAAAGGGCCACAGAACTTCGGCTACGCAAAACGACAGAATGGCACCCAACAACCGCCTCCATTACCGGCAAATGGACCACCGCAGCATACACACAGTAAATATAACAAATTATTATAATATACTATTTAACAGGAATAAAACGCCTAATGAGAACTAAACCTTTTGTGTTAAAAAACCTAGTGTAGAGAATATAAGTGCAAGTGCGGTATCTCAGACACACGAACATAGTGAATCATTATAGAACACCAAGACTGTTGATAAACATTACCTTAGTTTAAGTCATTTATTAGTATTGCAGAAAATTAAGTCAACATAATATTACTTATTAGCCATAAGTATTGTATACGCTAGATTATAATTAATGTAAAGTCGTTTTTTTTTGTGAACTTTATAATTAATAAGAAAATAAAATATACTAGGGACTTTAATTACGTGGACTGGTATTTACGGTGCCCCGATAAAAGGTTGCATAATATTTTCCAATTCAGCGACATATTCCTCTTTCATTATTTCTTAACTATAATAGCTAACTATAACATCATTTAGTATCAACGCCTTCGTTTTATAAAATATAATTAAGTCTTGTCAATCTTCAATCAATGTTTTTTGTACACGTGATATTTGCTATAATGTTATGTGGTTATTTCCAGGCGGCAGGACGGCACAAGTGACTGCTGTGCCTAGAACGAAAGTAAAAGTATCCGGAGGGACACAAACCTGTACCCAAGACCTACAGATACACAGTAAGTTGTTTTTCTACACACAATCAATGTAAATAAACTGAAAAAATCCGAAGGTTACAATTCAGAAATTATAGCCTCAGAATTTCAAGCAATTTAATCAAAGAAACTGAAATAAATAGTACAATTTTAGGAACTAAATAAACTTTAAATAAATAAAATAATAAAATTAAAAACCAACCTTAATTTTTATTTAGCAACCATTTCTTTGGACCATTCTTTTGACAATTTTTTTTAACCATACTTTTCCATCCTCCTATATAAAGAAACTAATCTGTACTTAATTATTTTAATTTAACATTATTATTGAATTTAAAGTTAAAAGAAATTATTCAATCTCAGCTGATTGTTCACGTGTTGTGCCCAAGCCTTTTAATATGTATTTCAATTTAATGCGTGATTTTTCTGAGCACATACCAGAATAGTTAATAATAAAACGAGATTATTTAATGACTTAATATTTATAGAAAACGGTATAGGACCAAAATCCTATTCGCTTCAAGGAAGTTCGGCCGCTCAACTCTCTGCTTCTGTAAGAGAGCGACTACTTGGATCTCAGTCCTTGCCAAAGCCGGGAACTCATGAATTTGCTGCACTTTTCCATCATCACAGGTATTTTTTCTTCTTTTTAACATTTCTTAAAATAAATATTCTTAATAAACAACTGTAACCAATTTATATTCCGGCGCCACATATGTTGTTAATTTTTTAATAAATAAATATTTGGGAACACAAAAAAACATATAACTCAGCCTCCAGGTCTCTTTAACGATTGATAAGTCAAAGTCAGAGTACATTGCAATCTTTCTTGTCGAGAATTTGGCCCTCCTTCCTTCCGTGCCAATTCCGTAGTATTTCTGAATCAATTCGACTTCAGATCCTTCAAGATAAGAGCGGTCCAATTACTTCAAAGCCGGCAACGCACTTGCGAGCCTTCTATTAGTATGAGTTTGGTATCACTTAACATCAGGTAAGCCCCTTTCCCGTTTGGCCCCTGTACTATAAAAAATTAGGTCACTTTCACAATTTATTTTCCTAAATGAATGATAAGTATGTGCAATTCATTGTGTTAGAAATATGTAAATATCTTTTAATAAAGAAAAATGTTTGCCTGTATGAAATTTAAGCAAAGCATTCAAAGCATCTTTTACGCGGCACCTAGCTTTCATTAAGCAGAGGTTTTTCACAGTAGGCACCCGATACCATCAGCGACTCAAAAAATTTAATATGTTATCTCTGTACAATCGAAGAACTCAAGCCGGTGTTACCTTCTTGCATAAATTGCTCAATAACCATATACAGAGCAGTGACCTCTTACAGGAAATCAAATTTGTCGTCTTACTCATTCCCTAGGTTTAAAATCAACAATATCTTCCAAATTCCTTCTGCCAAAACCAACCTAGGAGTTTAGGCACCTCTCGTTCGAATTCTTCGCGATTTCAACAAATTGAACACAGCTTATCCAGAGCTGGATATATTCGGTAGTGGGCTGATCGGTTTTAGAGAAAGCATTGTGGGGGGGCCTTTCTCAAACCTAATTTCGCGTTGAGAAGATTTTTCTTTTTTTCTGCTCTAAGTGCCAACAAATTTCTGTAAATTTATTTTATTTTATTGTGTGATTTTACTATCGTATATGTTTTAATTGTAATTTTTAATTTCTATTTAATTTTTTTTGTGAAACTTATGCTTACATTAATTGTCACACATTTTAGATGTGAGATTTTTTGTAAAATAATTAGTAATTTTAGTACGGTGGAGCAAAAACTAAATAAAAAAAGCAAGTATGCCTTCTCTTAAGTTTTTCTAATAACCTATATCCTTAGTTGACATTTAAATTGATAATTCCTATCTTATCTCAAAGCTTTATTTACAAAAATGATACCTAACTTAAAAGCGTGAGAACTGAAGTAGTACCAATTTATACGGTGTATTGTAGAGACTGTTTTCTTACACTGTTGCAAGGTAAATTGAATATTAGGTTTTATAGTTTACAATTTTGTGTGGGATATAGCGTGTATAGCGGATATTGTGTTGAAAATCGTGTAAATAAGCAGCTTTTTTAACAATTATTATTTTATGAATATACCAAATATCATTGCAGTTACATCGAGTATGTATACCCCTAAACATAAACAAATTTATTTTATCGTAAAAATTATATTAATATTGTAGTTAAATTGTATACCTACTACCTACTATACCTACTACACCTTAAATGTCATTGCTTGTGGCGGCGTCCATGCGTCGGGTTGTCTCTCTCCCTAAAATATGGCGAGGGGGCCGATGGCTGGCCATGCGTCATACCCGTGAACGGGTGCTACTTGTGGTGACTGGTCGTACTTGAATTCGTGTATGCGGTGATGTTAGTTAATTCGACTATGTGTTTGCTTGTTGTTCCCACGAGAATGTAAGTGCGTGCTCCTATTTCACCATGCCTCCTGCTGATAGAGGACAAGTCTTTTGTTTTTTTTAATTTATTTTATTATTATTAATTACTTAATATGTAATGTGGAACATGTTGTAATGGTTGCAGCTCCTTACAAACGTTGTGTAAAAAAAATGGCGATTAAAAAGAGTGGCAGAGAGTTTATTGCCAGTTCTTCTCTTCCGTTCTACGCCCTTGATTGGAGAACTGGCAGTAAATGTAAAATTAGAAGTATTAATATGTATTCCTTTACTGACGAGTCATAAGTGTACATTATGTTACCTATATGATTAAATGATTTTTTTACTTTACTTTACTTTTTATTGGATACTTATCTATTTCAGAGTACCTCCAAGAGGCGGTATGAAGATCAGCGACGGAAGTCTATCAGACACTCAGACTTACTCCGAAGTAAAGTCCGATTACGGAATTCCCTACGCACCATGGCTCAGGCATAGGTAACTCACATTTATATCATCCCTGTTATTGTATTATAGCCATCAAACCTGTGTGTTCATATGCTTGCGCGACCCCTTTCGGCCATTCCCAGACCGTGGCCAGCATGAACCCTTCTGTACAATTTCAGCAATACATATTCGGCGACCGGACGTCTTTCTGAAGGAGAGTCTATGGAGTCTCTGACGTCACTCCATTCAGCGCAGCACACTACCCCTAACTCACACCACCGCAGCTCACTCACACATAATAAGCTCATCATGCATCGAGACGCACAAACTTCGAGACTTAACCGAAGCAACAGTATTAGGTAGGTGATACCATTTCTAAATCGTCACTCCATATTTCCTTTGCTTGGCACCATTCATTAACGTTATATGCGAAACTTCAAAATATTTTAATATTGGTCTATACATGTACTAAAGTATCATCAGCAAATGCTGTACTGTAAATACGAGTACATGATCATATTTGTTTGTATATATTGGACAGTTAATTATTATATAACATTTTTATATAGGTTTATAAACTTTGATTAACTTTTAGCTACCTCAGAGATAGGACATTCCCAAGGTATGCCACAAGGTTTGAAGTATACTGTCTTGCTTCAACGTGGTACGCTTTCACTGCATGGACGCAAATGGCACGCAATGGCTTACGAAAAACTTTTTATTTAAACTTTAGATTTTGGTTCATTTCTCACGGGATATTTTGACGTGGATCCGGCCTGACGCCCTGTTTCTGATATCTGGATATTTTTTGCTTTAAATTCCGGGGCGTAATTTTGCTTTTCATGTTGAGTTTAGAGCCCGAAGACTAAGGGTGACTTGCTGTTGTAATATCAAACAGTATCGTAATAAATAAACCTCACGCTTGCCTTATGACTATGTCATAACAATTCGATCGGCGATCGAAGTTTACGCTTGTGGTAGCATATTGTCTAGGGCACTTGATGTTTTGCTATGGATTTAATGCGATTGGTAAGACGTCATACAAATCATTTTACTAATAGTAGCAAAGATATCGCTTACATTAGAAACTGAGATATCAAAATGGACATATTTGCAGTTTGCAATTAAGTGCTTATTATAGCTTGACCAATGTAATCGTTTGTCAATTGTCATATTTTATTGTTTCACAACGCCATCTTTATCGCACACATAAATTCGATAAATCGTAATACGCTATTACGAGAAGCGTGGGCCCACTCGTGTCGCACGATTCTGTGACCACAGATTTTTCTTTGCTTGTAGCAAACTTCCTAAGGTAAACTATTATGTGTAATACTTCCTAAAGTAGACCTATATCTTGACTCTTAAGTAACATTATTTGGTCTATACTTATTCAAAATCGGGTTTGCGCTAAATAAAATAAGAAAAAAAAGTAAGTACATATATACAGAATTGCGTTCTAGACTAAATTAAACTTCTCTGTATACAAGCTGAACGGCCAACCGTTTCTTTGCAGTATAAATATTACTACAGTACTAATATTGCTATTAAAAAATTGGGGTTGGTGAGAACTAAGGGTTATATATATATTTTAAAAGAATTAAAAATAAAATAAAAATACCAATAATTTTTTTTTTGTATTACCTACCCTACCCTTACCCTTATTACTTAGTTACTAAGACCTGCCAAATATAAACAAAAAACATACAGCCGTTACGTAGGAGTTTGGTTACGAACTCTGTAACACGAGAATGTTAAATATATATAGATATATGCTATAGAATTATTCACGCCTTAGGAGCTGCCACCATATAAAATAGCTTTTATTAGAAACTGAAATATCAGTTGGAATCAGCAAAAGCTATTGCTTATTGTTAACGCTACGTGACGCTGGATGTCTATTTATCAAACCAACGGGATGCATTCAAAATTCTCTTTTCAGATCGACGAAATCGGAAAAGCTGTATCCGTCGATGCTTCAAAGGTCTTCTGAGAGTGATTATGAACCTTATTACTGCCTGCCTGTTCAATATGGGGCAGGTGGACAAGGTTGGTTTATCTTCTAATATTTTTCGACTTTTATCACACATTTCAAAGTAATATTTGAGTTCTATCGTAAGTGCCAATAAAAAGGAACACTTTCGTAAAATGGTCGTTTGCTGAGTAATTTGATTCAGTTCTATTTTCTAAAGAAAAATTCTTAGTAAATATCTCATGCAATTTTAATTTAAACGTTTTTGAAGTTATACCTACTTCTTTTGGCACGTTAGGGAAAAATGATGAGAGTAACCTTTTACGATGCGCGCACACCCTCATAAAAACCAACACCCGCACACCGTCACGATAAACCGACACCCGCGCACAGTCACAAAAATCCTGAAATAATGATTTCTATACGAGACACCCCGTTTCAATATGATAAAAAACATAGTGATTATTGTAAATTAGTATGATATATATATCGTTTCGATTGGAAGTGACCATTAAAATGGACAAGAAAAATGCGATTCGAAGAAAGGAAACTTTCCTTCAAAATTCTCGAAGAAAACTATTACGCCAAAGAAGTATTACTTCTTACACGTGTACATAAGTACACACACGTTTTTTTATAAATTTAATTCATAATCATGATCATATTAAGAGAAACATAAAAGACAAGCTTTAATATTTGAAGTAAGTCAGCTAATATATAAAACTTTTATATATCGGGAATCTTATCTGCATTAAATAATTATAAGTATTATAATATTATTGTTAGTCATGAACTAAAGATTTACTTTGAATTTTCAAAAAATTAATAATATTAATTTCAAATTATTTAATTACATCGTAACGAACGTTCCAGGCTTTATTGGAGTGGATTGCTTTTCCAATCAACAATAGTATATTCTAGTGAATATTTGTGATATTGGCATTAATATTATAGGTCTAAATTACGGGGTATCAGAACCGCCATCACCATCCCCGAGATCGGCTCTCAGTCCTACGCACCAACCCGCCAGTGTCATGCATACTCCACGACATTCACACCATTATCCCAAGAAAAACGATGAAGGTAAGTCGGTTTGAGGAGCACAAGTTCTTGCATTGATTTAACGTGGTTTTTAACGCCTCTATTAGCTTGGTTTGGTTATGGTTTGTTAAGGAATCGAGCCTAGAAGACACATTATCTAATAAAATGTTCATAATAAAACTAGCGCTGGTGTTAAATTTGTAAACTTTAGAATAGTACATCACATCTTACTATGGAATTAAAGAAAAGGTAATCAACCACTATGATATTCATAAGTGCCAAGCAGTCATACTGAACAAGGAATTATATTTTCAGTACACGGATCCACTGCTTCCCTTGTATCAACCGCGTCTTCTCTTGCGGCGGGCGCCGGCGCCGAGGAAAGACACGCCCACGAGGTAAATACGCCTGTACGTAACCCATTCATTCACTCATTATTAGTTTTTTAAGTTCTTTAGACGACTTAATGTGATCAGCATACAGTAGTTTTCAACTTGGTTTTATATAATATATCGCACGAATGCATCGTTCATTCACAATTTATAATCATTGAAGTAATCAATATATACGAATCGCTTGTTCAAATGCTTTATATGGTCGCTTTTTTATGTAAAAAAAATTATTAAAATATTTCATAAATTAGGTTCGGAAGTTGAGAAGAGAGCTAGCGGACGCCAAAGAAAAAGTTCACACACTCACGACGCAACTCACAACTAATGTAAGTACAATTTTAATAATTATTAACATAGTTTATAAAACAAATTATAAATCCACATCGATGTTGAATTTCCATAGTCTACAAAAATTTAAACTTAACAACGGTTTCTTTTCGGACGTTTAAAAATTCAAATTGTATGAATTTTGTTATGAATAAAGTTTATTATTTAATGTCATTGTTTGTACATTCAAGACTGTATATTGAATGTGCTTTTTTTAGGAGAATCTACGGCTCATAGGCATTCGAAAACATGTATGATTCACAAACTAAATTTGAGCATTTTTATTATGATAGCGCTAATTGGTTTGCGATGCCTTGACATAAAATGACGTTGAAGGTAATAGAAGTTATAGATTTTATATACTTATGAAAAAATCTCTTATACGATATTCTGATATTATTCTCGTAGTTATAGTGAAAAATCGTCAGTATTTAACGTTAAAATCCATACTTTATTTTATTAAACTGATCTAACTGAAATCATCATAATTCATGTGTCCTATTTTTATTGTACTTTTCATGTTGTTATTGATTTGTTTTGTTCCATTATTTATTTACTAGTCTAAGTAACTGTATAGGTTACGTAGTTTTGCACTACTTGCTCAACTTTTTTAATTTAAAAAGAAATTCCTCACGGTGATTGCCTGGAAGAGATCGCTCGAAGGCGATAAGGCCGCCAGTTGCCCTCCTTTTTTTATTTAATTATTTAAACTGTTTACTGTTTTTCTTGCAACGAAGTATAAATAAATAAAGTATTGAAATATTAATCTTTCCTCGTCTTAATAATTATATAGAATATATAGATAGAAATCAAAACCTGTCAAAATTGTTAATAATCCATTGAAAAACAATTAAACATGTCAGCTATAGTTTATTACCTAATGTAATGTAATACTGTAACCACAGTAGCGCGTTCTTGGCTTCCAAAAACGAAGAAATATGTCAGTAATTTGAGCTTGTCAAAATACTTTTCACGGCCAGTCCAAGAGTTGGTATTTGTATCATACATCAGATTTTATTTCAACCATTTTGTACATTCTACTAATTCACGTACTAAACTTTAATGGCTATAGTTTAGTATGCTTTATATCCACATTCATAAAGGTTATTATATTTCTTTTCTCTGTCTAACGCCGTATACAAAATAAAACCAAACATTTGCTATGATAGCGGCGCAGAATTTTAAACATAGTTCTCTGACTTTTTATGTATATTTTGAATAGTCATAGATTAAATCGAAAAGATATTTCGATGATAAAATGAAGATCCGGATAAAGGACTAATCCGTACACGTCAATCAGATTTATAAACGATAGCACTTATCTGTTGTAAACTACAAGACAATGATGTCAATAATTTTACGTATAGTAACTGCGAAAATCGATGTTCATACAATTTACCAAAAACAGATGCGTATAACTTAATATAGCGAACGTCAGTTATTCACCAAAAACTATTTAAGAAAAATGATATTGTGCTGTAGTTAAAAATCAACTTATGCAAGACATTATGTATGTTATTACATAAAATAATATAAAAGTGATATTTTAACCCTGAGTAATATAAGAAGCTGTCACAAAATAGTATAGCTCTCGTGATAAGCTGCCACTGTATATTTCGAAACTTTATATTGTTTACCAATATTGTGGTATATTCCGCGGTTAAATAAATTGAGGAAAGCTGCCTTTTTCGTGAAAACTCAAGTACGCATACTTTAATTTTGAATGTAGAATTCTGACTTTTCTGTTTTCATACAAATTCATATAAAATACAATAATAAAATGTATTAAAATAGACAAGAATAGCTCTACATCTCTATTGTAAATCTTACTCTATGTGCACTAGTTTGACAGTCATTAAAATACTTGTTTTTTTTCATACATCGTGATGTCGTGTCTATTGCTGTTAAATAATTTTTTGGTTCACAACAGTGTTGCTTTCTATATCTTATCCGCTCTGAACATTACATACACAATTTTACGTACATCGAATACGCACTACATATTATATGTTCTATTTACATTAAAGAAAGTACCTAGAGGTCACGCTAAACGGCATTTTCACCACCCCGTCCATATTGGAATTTCCAATATCGACATGACATCGACAGCAAGTGACACAGATCAAATAATGAGATAATAGCAAGGGTCGAACAAGTCACACGGCCGTGAGACGTGAGACCACTAACTCCATATCGGGTGTCAGGAATGTATGCCAACTACTGTAGGCCCTCCTGTCAACTGTTATTTACGCCGCCTTTGAACGCCTATCCAAGTGCGAATATTCTAATCAAGAATTGAATAGAAATTATTATTTTAATTAATTCTAGTCTGTAGAATATGAAAATGTCTAAGTATAAAAGGGCTGTAGTTATGAATTCGATGTAACATCTGGGTTTCGACCTTCAGGATGTTTCAATATGTTATAAGTTACAATTGTTTTTTTATTAAAAGTCTAATTGATATTCGCGGTTGAAATTAGTTTATGTAGGTTCTGAAGACGCTGAGGACTTAAAGTAGTAACTGTCTTTTGAATGTAATTATAAAATAAGATATTTCCGTTATTACACTTAAAATATTATACTGCTTTTTTACAGTGAAACGTCTTCGTTTGTATAATAACCCAAAGTGATGTTTTAATTATCATTAAATTCAATTATTATACAATTGTCAAAACGCGTTTATCCCAGCAAATATTAAATTTGTGATACTCTTGTAAACATAAAATTTTAACGATCTTCGTAACTCAAAAACGCACATGAATAAATAAAATGATCAAAAACTAGAAAACCGTATCAAATTAAAATCATGACATGAGTATTTACAATATTCTCTATTTCTCTTGTAAATATAATAAATATTATTATATAAAAAATCTGGTACAAGTATTACCAAGTTTAAATTTAACTTCTATATATGAACAAGGTTACACACTGTTACTTTTTACACAAAAAAAATGCGGTAATCAACAACATATAAGGTCTTTCTACGTCAATGTGGCTTTGAGTTGATATAATTCGCTGCTTAGCATTAGGAAACGATTTAAATAAGACCATTATAAGGGTACATATTCCGTACATCTACGTCAAAACAATGATTTGAATTGCAAATGAAAAAGTAAAACGTATTTGAAAGTAACAATGGAAAATGTTTACGTACTTTGTTTACCTAGCAATTGCTTTAAGTATGAAATAGATAAATACATAGGACTCGCCTACTCTACTCTTTCATCTCTGTCTCCCAAATTGCGATTACATTGTGATGAAAAGAGACACGAGAACTTTAGTCTGAAGAGTGACTTAGTTTTTTCGACTGACTCGAATTTATACGTCACAAAGTAAAGTGTAGTTGCACGCTCTATGCGCGCAGGACGCGTGCGGTGCTTACATTACTTTCTTGTTGCTAGTGAATTATTTTCTGCAGTCCGTTCACTCTAGGGAATATTTTTCAAATACTAATTTCAACGAAAAGGTTGTGATTTAGTTACTTACATTTAAAATTTAAATAACATGATGAATGAATATAGTTTTCGCAGCTGAATTCAAACATGGTTGGATAGATTTACGATTTTAGGGAGCTAATATAATATGATAAGCTAATAAATAATGGTGTAACTAAATCTAGGTAAAAATAAATATATCAGTAGTAGTGTAATAATTATCAACAACTATCAAACATTTTTCTTATATAATATATATAGGACGATTAATAAAAATTACGAGTACAAATTCGCATTGTAAATTTTATGTTTGGCATAATAAAGGAGCGTTCAAACATCTTTGTCCCTTACATGTTCTGTGTTGCATACAATGTTGAATATTAACACTTATTTTAACGCGCCATTTATGGGTGCAAACATTAATCACAACATGTGCGAAGATTACAAATAAGTTTATGTTTACATTTGCGTATTAGTCGTTAGAACTTAAGAAAGCTTTAGTATGTATGAACATGCGAAGGACGAAAGACTCCTTATATATGAAAAGGATCATCCTAGTGTATAAATTACTGTGGGTCCTCTTTAATCGGCAGCTCATGTTTAAGCGTCATGGTCAGCAAGGAAGGAAGTGGGGGTAAGGTACATAATGTGCCACCTATATTAAAATTTATTTCAAAAGCTTGTTACCACTTATACTTAATGGATTTCGCTTTTAAAATATTTTGTCTTCAGCTATAATGGTCATAAGTTAAACAGGAAAGATCGATATCGTTTTTATTTAATTTCGCCATTTATTTTCCTCTAATTGTTGATTACACAAATTCGGTAATAATATTTTTCATTATGCACCTTAAGGTTATCTTTTAAACCCATTTAGTACATTTTAAGGACCGAAATCGACAGCATGTGGCATACACATAGAGAGAGCGAAAAATTTTAATAATATATTTTAATTGTCCGTATTATAATAGTGAAAGCGAAAATTATCAACGGTAAATTACCACGTATAGTCCAATTAGTGTACTGGTGTAGAAAACAAGAGACGAAATTCCCACAGCTTGGTCTAGACATCAACCAGAATAATTAGAACTATTATAAAATATTTTAATCGCGACGAATACAAAACATATATGATAACAGGCAAAATATATAATACAAATGGTTCTTATAGAAAAAGCGTAGTGGCTACAACAGGTTTACAATTGCAGTTTACAAATTTTTGGACAATCATTACTTTATTTGAGAAGTAAAAATCACAATTTTAGATTTTCATATTATTTAACATTCAGACAAATCAATGGATGATAATTTTTCCTTCTATATATGCTAGCTAATAAATAATAATTTATGTTAAAGAGCCAAATAGTTGTTAGATTAGTTAAGGTTAGTTCAAACGTCCATTAATCCGTTTTAAACCAATCAATTTAAATCAAAGGACAAAGAAAGGGTTTAAATAAAACGACTGCTTGTGTTCCCTTAATTTACGGCTATACAAAGCCGGGCCGCCATAAATAATTCAACAAGGACTAAACAGCTACGTACATTCGTTGCTCTATTGTATTAGCTTCTATATTTTAGTCACATTTACTGAGAAATTGTTATTTCTGTTGTGACTGCAATTATGTATTATGTGCAATACAAAATATCGATATACATATATAATTAATTGATAGGTTTTTATATTGCACAAATGACCGAATTGGAAAACGGGAAACGTGCATGGACCATTCTTAAAACTATAAAAATGCAACCAAAGCTGGGTTTTGTAAGTACAGCCATTCTATAACGTCCAAGACATTTCGATTCGACCTCAACAGGCA